CTCATCTTTTTAAGTGGGAGAACTTGCACTGTTGGTGGCTGACTAAATACTTTTTTGCCCCACTGTCTTGTCGACAGCCAAAGTCAATGTATTTAATGTTATATTTCAAAATTAATTGATTCACAGATTTTTACTTTATTATTTGTGCTTTAATACTTGAAGGTTTCATGTATTTTCAGTCTGTGTCCTGTGAGTCTGATTGTCTCTGGGTCACTGGCACAGCTATTTCTGAGTGTTGCTGAATTACAAAAGACAAAACATATGCTAGCATTCTATTCTTGTCGCAGACCTAGCTTATCCGGGACTCTCATGTAAACATGGATGGATTTCATCTACTTTGGGCCGAAGCAGGGAGAGTAGTAAGAAGGGAGGAGGGCTTTAGCTGTGTTTGTGAACAATAGATGGTAAAACTCTGGAAACCTTGCAATCTAAGAGACGCTCTGCAGCAAGGACATTAAGCTGTTAGCAGTTAGCATGAGGCCAAATTATCTACCCTGGGAATTTACACACTATTATTGTGATAGCTGTGTATGTCTCCCCCCCTCTGCTAATGCAGCAACAGTCCATAATGTCCTGCAGACTACCATCATCAGACTCCAACCTCAGCACCCACAGGCTCTTTCGAAGATCTATGGGGAACTTCAAGCATGTCTCCCTGTCCTCCACCCTTCCCACATTTACACAGTATGTTAACTGCCAGACCAGAGACAACAAAACACTGGATCTACTGTATGCAGACACTAAGGAGGAATACAGCTCCTTACCTCTCCCTCCCCTGGGGATCTCTGACCACAATCTGGTTCATCTCCAGCCTGTGTTCAAACCTGGGGTGCACAAAGAACCATGTGAGAAACACACAGTGAGGAGATGGTCTGAGGAAGCTGAAGAGGCTCTGAGGGACTGTTTCTCCAATACTGGGAAGAGCTATGTGCTCCTAATCAACAGGATAGCAATAGTATCACAGACTGCATCACCAATTACATTAACTTCTGTGTGGACAACACTGTGCCTATCAGAAAGATCAGTCTTCTCGAACAACAAACCATGGATCAACCCTGAGATAAAGGCACTTCTGAAAAAAAGTGCAGATCCTTTAGATCAGGGAACAAGGAGGAGCTGAGAGCAGCACAGAAAGAACTGAGGAAGAAAATCAGGGTTAGGGTTAGGGCTAACCCTAACCTACATGTTATGAATGCTGGCGTACCATAAATGATAAATTATGAACAGTTTAGTTTGTGCCTTCAACTCGTTGCCCATAGGAAGACGTTACTTGGATATAACCTAATGGAATATCTTCAGCACGGCTCCAAATGACACTAAACTAATATGGGTGAGTAGAACATGATGGAATAATGTAAAATCAAGGGCCCAATGTAAAAAAAAAAAAAAAGGCGTTCCCCTTTAAGCCTGAGGCTGGCAGAAGAATAACAGCTTGTGAAGACGTCTTGTGTGGTACTGGTGCCAAAGATAAAACTTCCAAAGGACCTCAGCAGCTAAAGGCCAGTAGCACTGACTTCACACCTGATGAAGACCCTGGAATGGTTAGTGAAGACTTGATTGGTGAAGACTTGATTAGATCCACTGCAGTTTACCGTCCTGGGATTGGGGCAGATGATGCAATCATCTTCCTCCTGGACCAGCACGTGTCCCAGTGGATTCTGGACTACCTCACTGTCAGGGCACAGGGCTGTGTCTTAGAAAGGGTGGTCTGCAGTACGGGGTCCCACAGGGAACAATGCTGGCACCGTTTCTCTTCACCCTCTACACTGCAGCCTTCTCCATCAGCTCTCCACACTGCCACCTCCAGAAGTTTTCAGACCATTCTGCCATAGTTGGCCTCATCACAGGTGGAGAAGACTCAGAGGACAGACAGGGGACCCAGAACTTGGCTGTCTGGTTCCAGCAGAACCACCTTATGATTTATGCAGGGAAAACCAAGGAGCTAGTGGTGGACTTTTACAGAAGCAGATCCTCCCCACTGACATCGGTGAACATCCAGGGAACGGACATTGAGATAGTGGACTCATCGAAGTACCTAGGTGTTCACCTGAAGAACAAACTGGACTGGACTCCAAACACTGAGGCTCTGGATCAGAAAGGTCAGAGCAGACTCTTCCT